CGTCGCGGCTGGCTAGCAGAAACACTGATTGACATGGAAAAGACGGCTTTTATCGCGCGTCGTGGCGTCGCGTGTAGTTAGGACACGGCGTTAGGAAACGTCCTTTATGCAACACTAATAGTTTTTTAAGAGATTGCTTAAGGGAAAAATAGATATTTAAGGGAAATTCTTAGTGCATGACGTTTCACCTAAAGAAACCGTTTAGTAGCCGGTTATTGTTAGCAGCACCCCTCAGTTTAAGGGAAACCTAAGGCCGCTCTTAGGGAACATTACACTTGAGCTGCTCTCTGCAGCCGGCACTGCTGATTGGCTAACGACACCCCCCAGTGGTTGCCATGGTGAAGCTCATGCAGAACATCTCAACACTGCAGAGATTCAGGGAGACACTTGTGTTTTAACACTTTACAATATTGTTCATTAGCTAACATTAGTTAGTGTATTAACTAACACGAACTAACCATGAGCTATATATTTGTTACAGTATTTATTCATCTTTGTTAATGTTAGTTAATAAAAACACGTGCTGCTGTGGAGAAGCTGCATTACGCCTCATCTGTGAGTACACACACACATACACACACACACATATACACACACATATATACACACACACACGTGCTGCTGTGGAGAAGCTACATTACACTTCATCTGTGAGTACACACACACACACACATATACACACACACACACACACATATACACACACACGTGCTGCTGTGGAGAAGCTACATTACACTTCATCTGTGAGCACAGACACACACACACACACACACATATACACACACATGTGCTGCTGTGGAAAAGCTGCAGTACGCTTCATCTCTGAGGTTTTTCTTCTTTCTTTTAACTCCAGCCATCAGCTAATTAGTGATTATCCTGGATAATTGACATGGCGTTTGTGCAATTAAGCAGTTTTTAAAAAGGGCCGAAGCCTGGCATGTGAGCGCTGGCAGAGACCTAGAGTCACAGGGACAGGTGTGCACTCAGTCAGAGACCCAGAGTCACAGGGACACAGGGATGAGGTGTGCACTCAGTCAGAGACCCAGAGTCACAGGGACACAGGGATGAGGTGAGCACTCAGTCAGAGACCCAGAGTCACAGGGACACAGGGATGAGGTGAGCACTCAGTCAGAGACGCGCCGCCGCATTACTGCTGTAAGGACCGGAGTCCTGGAGAACTAGAGTGAGCAGGAGCTGATCGCACTGGAGAAAATACAATGCAAAACTGAAACCGTAAAGGGATGTTCAAGCGAACCTGAGACTCCTTCACTCAGCCTGGTGTTGACTATCTGTCTGTCTGTCAATCTCTGTCTGTCTGTCTATCTGTCTGTCTGTCAATCTCTGTCTGTCTGTCTATCTGTCTGTCTGTCAATCTCTATCTGTCTGTCTGTCTGTCTATCTATCTGTCTGTCTGTCTGTCTGTCTGTCTGTCTATCTGTCTGTTTGTCTGTCTATCTGACTATCTATCTATCTGACTATCTGTCTGTCTGTCTGTCTGTCTATCTGTCTGTTTGTCTGTCTATCTGACTATCTATCTGTCTGTCTGTCTGTCTATCTGACTATCTATCTGTCTGTCTGTCTGTCTATCTGACTATCTGTCTGTCTATCTGACTATCTGTCTGTCTGTCTGTCTATCTGACTATCTGTCTGTCTGACTATCTATCTGTCTGTCTGTCTGTCTATCTGACTATCTATCTGTCTGTCTGTCTGTCTATCTGACTATCTGTCTGTCTATCTGACTATCTGTCTGTCTGTCTGTCTATCTGACTATCTGTCTGTCTGACTATCTATCTGTCTGTCTGTCTGTCTATCTGACTATCTATCTGTCTGTCTGTCTGTCTATCTGACTATCTGTCTGTCTATCTGACTATCTGTCTGTCTGTCTGTCTATCTGACTATCTATCTGTCTGTCTATCTGACTATCTGTCTGTCTGTCTATCTGTCTGTCTGTCTGTCAATCTCTATCTGTCTGTCTGTCTGTCTGTCTATCTATCTGTCTGTCTGTCTATCTATC